GCATATGTGCCTACTTATGGGGGTGGTTATTTTTCCTGCTTTATATATATGATCTTGAATCCGTTTGAGGAATTGGGGTTGATTTACTAACCTTATAAACACACCACGAACATGTATACAACTCTGTAGTGTGTTCCCTCCCAGCATGATCTATGGGTGGAATCTAAACACCTTTGTAGTGTGTACACACCCAGCAGGTGTGTTGTGCAAAGCCCTGCATGAATTGCAAGGTGATGTTGTGTAAATTAGCTTTTTGTTTTGTTGCTTGCGTTGATGAATGCAGGAATGTAAATGCATGAGCTAACCATTTTTGTCTAAACTGTGAAGCAGCATTATATATGCATCATGTGCATGATTTTTCCATATATGGCATTAGTGGAAATATGCTTTTAGAGACTTTTTGGTTGATAAATACGTTTTGCTGTGTGAAAATCACACGCACCTGGTGTGTGCATGTGTTTAGGTTAGTAAATCACCCCCATTGTCTCTTAGTTTTGCCAAAATAAAAAGATCCACAGTCACAGACCATCATGTACAGTATATTATACCGGTGGAATTACAGTTCACCATGTCTTAGTTACATAGTTACATAGTTCCATAGTATTTGAGGTTGAATGAAGACATTAGTCCATCAAGTCCACCTATTAGGATCTCATTCTAGGAGTACCTGTAACCCTGTATATTACGGTCCCTTAAGAAATCGTCCAAAAGTTTCTTGAACAATTCCACATTATTTGCTGAAATCACCGCCTGTGGCAGTGAGTTCCAGACCCTAACTGATCTTACTGTGAAGAACCCCCTTCGCCCCTTGTGCTGGAATTTTTTTCCCATCAATTTTAGGTGATGGCCTCTAGTTTTTGTAACGGAGTTAATTTTAAACAGTTTATCGCTAATGTTGCTACCACCATTAAACATTTTGTACATGGAAATCATATCCCCCCTTAATCTCCTCACCTCTAATGTGAACATGTTTAAATTTAGTAGCCTCGTCTCGTAGCTCTGGTCCTCCATACCCCTAATTAGTTTGGTTGCCCTTCGCTGGACTTTTTCCAACTCAAGGACATCTTTTCTTAGTACTGGTGACCAGAACTGGACCGCGTACTCCAGATGAGGTCGAACCAATGATCTATAAAGTGGCAAAATTATAGACTTGTCCCTGCAATGCATCCCCTTTTTAATACAGGACAAGACCCTGCTAGCTTTGTTTACAGCAGCCTGGCACTGCAAACTACCTTTCAGTTTGTGGTCTACAATGACCCCCAAATCCTTCTCCATTTCTGACTTCCCCAGCGGCATACCCATCATTGTATAACCCATTTGTTTATTTTTAATTCCAAAGTGCATTACTTTGCATTTATCAACATTAAACCTCATCTGCCACATTAATGTCTTGGACTACATTTTAGTCCCCCTGGTAATATATCCACACCCCTATCCAATACCCAGGGACATTGGGAACACCTGCCACATTTAGGTGTGCCCAAGTCTCTTAATGGTATCTCATTGTTGGGGGGACGGTAATGGCTTGAAGTGAATGTATCCCTTAAGGATCGAGCATGTTAGTATGTAATTTCTGGATACTCTTTAATATAGTGACAAAGAATAGGATCATTAAACAAGATATGGTAGTGCTTTTGTAAGATTCTTTTAAATTGCCAATGTTGTTTTGTGTATTTAGTTATAGCCCTCACTGTCTCAGTTAACTTATTATTATAAGGTTGATACAATAGCTCCTGTCTGGTTTTCCTAGTGCTTGCTTATAGGCTTTTTTTAGGATGGTCCTAAAGTAACCTCTAGCCTGTAAGCGAATATGCAATTGCTCCGCCTGCGATTTAAACTCCTCTATACTTGAACAGTTTCTCCTTACTCTCAATATTGAAAGTAAGGAATACTATTTTTTTATTGTCACTGGATGAAAAGTTGATGCATATAGGATTGTATTCCCAGATGTGGGTTTTCAATAAAGAATAGTAGACAGGGTGCCATCTAATAACTTGCTAATTGTAACGTCTAGAAATGAAAAAACCTCACAGTGATGATGTGAAGTGAATTTAAGATTATAGGGGTTTGTTTGTATTTGTTCAACAAATTGTTGTAATTGTTCAGTCATGTCGGACCAGATCATAAAAATATCGTCAATATACCTGCTTTTGCTTTTTGTGTAAGAGGGGGCACAGCAAGTCCCCATCCCTACGCCTTATATCTGGATATAACAAGTATCATTGAATATAAACATGTTAGAAGTCAAGATATGGTATAAAAGTTTACATTGAAATTAAACGTCCAAGTGGACTTTCCTGGGTGGATAAAAAAAGAGCCCACTATTTCAATGCCCTCATCATGGGGTATACTTGAAGTCAATGCTTCCACATCTATAGCTACTAGAATTGCATTTGGGACCATTGAGACACCATCCAAAATCTTTAGAAGTTTGATGGTGTCCTTAATATGTGAGGGAAGCGAAGTTACATGTACTCGCAAAAAAAGAGTCCACAAATTTGCTTGCCTTTTCAGTTTGTGAACCAAACCCAGAGACAATCGGTCTACCTGGGGGATTTTTAGTTGACTCGTGCATTTTGGGAAGGAGTAAAAGGGTTGAATACGGGGGTTAATCACATTGAGGTTTTCGTTTACTTTTTATGACTGTTTCGAATACACATAATTTATACATTGATATACACTGATCACTTAACCCAATCTGTGAATATTTACACATATTTTGTTGACTTCATCTCTAGCGCTGTGTTTCAAGTACTCTACATTGAGGAAATTGTTTCCTTATTAAGACCTTCCCCTATTGCTTATATTTGGATAGTTTTAAATTGTATTTCACAAAACTTTTGGTAATACCAATCTGTATTTTTTAGTATGTTATTACACATATCTACATACTGTTGCTTGTTTTATATGTGTTATTAATTGGGCTGGCAGTTTCATTCCAATCAATATTGGTGTTTTGCAAGAAGATCTCTGGCTGCATTTTACAAGTGGAGGGCCCAACTAACTTTTGTATCTATGGCCTCTTAATTCGCTAGAAGTTCAAAATAGCATATAGCCTGGTAGGTCTTCTTGGTTCAATTGATCTAATCTTTTTAGATGATATTCAGACCTTATTAAATAAATATATTCCTTGGTATATCTGTAAAAAAACAAGTCAAGGCAACTGGACTTGCTGTATTTTTCTTGAAGACGTTTCACTGGTCATCCAGCTTTCTCAATTCAGAATGACTTGTACAAAAAATTATCTGGGTGGAATACATAGGGTGAATGTTGCTCCAATTTACATAATCTGTTAGTCACAAACCAGGTGGTTGATTGCATTTGCATAGTTGGAGTCTAAGAGGTGTTATTAACCTGACCAGAGAGAGGTGTTGAAACAGAATTTTATGTGGCAGACAATAGATGTCTCACCCCCCCCCCCCCCCCTCTATTCAAACTTGGTTTCTCAATTTTTACATAATTGTTTTACAGATATACCATGACCTGGAAGAATGAGAACCTTCACAGATATATTCCTTGGTATTTGCCATGTCAGGATTGGGGAGATCCTAGTCGAGTGTGCCTGGAAGCCCATCTGGTCGATCTGATGCATCGCTCCCCCTGCTTATGTGACAAACATGTTATTCCATGAGCCATGGTGTATGATCTATATGTGATCGTGACATATGTATATTCTACCTTGATTGTTCGAACTCCGCATCATTAATGTTATTGATTGATAGTTACCAATATTGGTTTACAGTACTTGTTTTTCTATTCTAGTATATGCCCATAAGCTCCTGAAAAAGTGGCAGTCACCGCAAAACGCGTAGAAACTTGTATAACTATTATTAACATATACTCAATGGTATTTCTATGCTATATATATATGGATAATCAGGTTAAACTAAGTGGTGATATATTGAGGAGGTACAGGGGATATATTGAGGAGGCATAAACTTATGTATTTGTGAGTGAGAATATACATTGTAATGTATTTTCTTTCATTATGTGATTTTAACAGAGATGTACACAATAGAATATTCTTTTTAATACAAATTTAAGTGGTCATGTTGGTGCCTAAAAAGTCAGTTTGTTGCTTTCCTGTATCCTTCCTTTTTTGCATTGTTACACGACTTACTATTTTTAAATCTTTCCACTGATTTTTATCTTTATAGGAGTTCTCAGTTAAAGAGAGTCTTTCTGGTCATGGGAGAGAATGTTCAGCTCTCATTTCATCAGCTTCCAAGGCAGATCAAAGGTAGCCAGGGGCTGTGAGAATACAGAGCCCTTATCTGAAATCAGGTGTTCAGGGTTGTTAGAAGTGATCCCTAGACATTCCAAGCCATCAGCTTCCTGTATAAGTTATTATAAAGCAGCCCCCTTAGTATGTTAATGAAAATAGTTAAAATATTGTATATATCTAGGAAAATATCTTTAAACATATTTACCCTCAAGTCAAATTGAGTATATGATGAACAGTGCACAAGCAGATTCTTTAGATTTTCTTTAGTCAAAACTGCATGTGAAAATGATTAGTAGATCCAAAGATATAAGCAATTGTAATAAATGTAAATTTTTACTTTTCCTGAATAAGCCTGACCTTGTTGCTTCCTGGCTTTCAAGATTTCCTATCGGTCACCCTAGTGATGGACAGCCTCACTGACCAATAGGGAGCCTTGGGAGATGGTGGGTTAACTTTTACAGTTCAAAGTCTATATAACATCACCTGCCCATCTACTGATCCGTTTGACCTTTTCATTGAAGATAACCTCTGCTTATGACATTTTTTTTATTGTATGCTCACTTTGAACTGCCCGTTTTTTAAATGGCCATAAACAAAAACCTAATAGTTGCTTGGCCTATGTAAAATAATTTTGATGCTATTTATAGAAAAATTGTTATGAATGTGTCTCAACCACATGTTCAGCTGTTTGTCTGGTGCTTAATTTTGAGTTTGAAAATGTAGTTGTTTGCATGGCTATAAGCAGAAGAAAAAAAGACAGCAAGACACAATCATATCATGGTATATAGAGTTTTATTGGATTGTTAGGACATTCAGTAATGGTTAGTGCATGCCACATGAAGAAACACCCATATTCAGGTCCACCAAAGTGGTACATCTTTTTTCTAACCTCGTTCTCTTGTCCAGGCATGGGATGAAGACAGCCAAGGTGAACGTGAAGCACAATGTCCCAGATTTAAATGTCTTGTTTGCATTATGAGGTTACTGTGGGCACGCCACCAGAATCTGCAGGTTTCTATGAATGAACCATTTCCTGGAACTCTACAAAACACACAGACAGAGATATTTAGTTGAATGAAAGAATTGCATTATTATTTAGAAAATGTTGGAATTATACCCCATAAATGTGTAGCTATTTAGATTTCCTAGTTCAGGTTAAAAAATTAAAAGAGTATCTAAATCCAGGAACTCTATAATCATCTCTGAATTAATGCTGACACTGTCCTGGAGGGTGGCTACTGTTCCCCATGGTCACTGTGTGTGTTGTAAAGTAGTCACCGCTCCAAGCTCGCTTCTGTGATGGACTACAATCTCAATACTAATTACTAAACTAAACGTGAGATTGCTGTCCATTATGGGAGCGAGCGAGCGAGGAGCAGTGGCTGCTTTACAACACACACAGGAACCATAGGGAACAAAAGTAGCCACCCTCCAGAAGGAAGGAGAGTGCCAGCATGAATTCAGTTTTGTTAAGCAGGACTCTGAACATTTAAATTCTCATCTTCACAATAGCATAAAGCTGGGTATACACAATTAGAGTTTCATTTGAAAAGATTTGTTTTCATTTGATTCTCTAGGTAATGGGTTAAAATTGGCAATCCATTTCAACCGTAGTGATCGAAGGAGAAGGAAGGAAAATTTTTCGTGAACGAATGAAGTTCTAACAATGAATGTGGTTTTCGTTCACTATTTCCGTTCAGAGATTTTCTGTATAAATGTTTGTACAAAAGTCTACCAGTGTATATCCAGCGTCACAAGTAGCTGGTATGTGTCATCTGTACTTTAATTCTGATTGGCAGTTGCTGTCCCTACGTCATAACCTAGTAGCAGGCACATTCCATCTTCTTGGAGTTCACTACTGTAGATCACAGGAAGAGGAATGAGGAATGGATAAGACAGCTGCCAATGGTTATGGCAAGTCTGATGGCCGTACACTAGGCAGCTTAGTTGCAAATTCAGCTAACTTCATGAACATCATAATGCACACGGCAAAATGTAACAATAGATTATTGCACCCACCTTCAGCTCCAATTTTCCCATCTCCATCATGGTCAGCGGCAGCCATGAATTCCCTGGTTTCTGAGCATGTTAGTTCTCGGCAGCTTGGATCAAAACGCTGAAGGAAAAACCTAAGGAAGAAGGAGACCCATATTATAAAATGGCTAGGTCATGTTTTGCTTCTTTCATGTGGGTTCGATCTCTGGCCAATTTGCATTGATGTAAGGACAGGGAATCTGGAAGATGGTCTATATCTGTGCTCACAGTTTGACTTGTAAAACTACTTTCTTCTAGCCTACAGGAGTATCAGTTAATCCAATTTACTGAGAATTTTTATGGGTAGGGCTCAATGCATCACCATTGTATGAGGGAACAGTAACTATTGTATAGTAAAAATTCAGAACTAGAAATCAGGATGCAATGACAGTAGTCTTGATTTTACAAGAGAGTTCCAGGGGTCTATAGCTTCTCTTTTATATAGACTGTTGGAAAACCACACTACAAGTTATAGGCAGGGTATGTAAGGTGAAACATGCAGCTCCACAGTTTTAGCCAACTTTGTTAGAAATCTCATGAACGTCCTTAAAGGTTTAAATACAACAGATTCCTCCATCAATGTTTACGAGCGTTGATCGAAGAACCCCCCCCGCTGTTTCTATTGTATTCTGACAGGGTACCGTCAGTGGCACCTACTGTGCGGATTTTGTCCGGTTCATTAGGAACCTGATTAAATTCAATACGTGTGTATCACGCTTTATTGTAACCATAATCCCACTCTGCTGCCACAGCCTGCAGTCTCACCGGTCAATATGTAACAGAACAATTGTGTGTCTGTTTCCCTTACTGATGACTTGTCTAGCACAGGCAAAGAAAGGAAGTTTCAAACAAACATGTTTTTCCCTAAAGCTGAAGGTAATGATGAGTTACTAAAAGTAATGTAAACTATGTAGTTTGTGTGCATAAATATGTTTTGTTTATATTTTTAAAAAATCAAAGGTATAACATATCATATCACTAAGATATTATCTTACTTAAGTTCTTCCTCTTCTATAAATCCACTCTGATCATTGTCTAAAACCCGGAAGGCTTCTTTCACTTGGCTGGCCGTCTTTTTGGTCAGCCCACTAGTTTGGAAAAATTTCTTGTAATTGAAGGTGTCAGGAGCTGAAAAAGTACAGAATTATGTTAGGTTTATCAATTGGTCCAATCTACTAAAATATACAACATCAGAATTATAATTATGCATATTAGGCCCATTTCTAGGGGTGCCATAGTGTGAAGGGTATTTGCTTACAACGGTTCCCTGCCTTGTGGAGCTCCCCCCATTGTGATCAGGTGGAATTGATTGAAAAGAAAGGCTTGCTGTGATCTATCTGCACCGGGAGTGATTTCAACTTACACTGGCATCTGCTTACACCACTTCCGTTTCACTAATTAAGTAGCTTTGGTTTCACTCTCATTTTCAACTGCATCTATACTGTTGTCTTTCCTTCCAGCATCGAATTGACAGCAAACGATGAGCTATGCATATAGGTTAATGATGGAATCAATTAAATGGTGCTATTGCATGGGAGAACAAAAGGAGCAATGAGATTATTATGCAGCTGAGCCAGCTTCTTGCTGAATAGGATGGGTTTTTATTAATATATATATACATTTTACCAAACAGAAGTAGCAGATCCTGGGAGCTGATGCCCTTTACATACTGTGACCTTAGCCTGCTGCTCTACTTGGAGCATGATGCCCACTCTGCACCTTCATCGACCCCTCTGATGGTGTGACTGCTGGTCTGATCTGAGGTCTTATTCATACTTAGTTTTTGTGGCCACACAGTTAGACTCACAGCAAGACTCAACTAATAATGCACACCACTGGTAAGGGAACTGCACCACTACAGCCCTGGGAATATTTGCACAGACTTTTTTTTTTCCATACCTCATGTTAATAGGAAATATATGGGCCTGGCTACCCACAACTGTCTTGTAATAAGAAATATAAAAATAGAACTATTGATAAATGAAAAATTACATTTATGATGCAGTCTGTCAATAGCAATAACACAGCAAAGGCAGTTGCATAGCACAGAATGCTATTGTCGGACAATAGTTTCAATGGCATTAACATAGCAGCGTTTCAAGCTCAGAGGCTGCTGCAAGCAACATCAAACTGAGCTGAAAGCCATATAGGAGCTCATTAGCAACTGTTTTTTGGTCATTATATCTACATATCAGAATATATACTTTATATATACTGTAAATTATATACACACACATTTATATACACATTTGTGCATAGTATCTAGTGAGCAATCAAATTACGTTTTATCAAGATAAGGATCTATGCACTTGACTCTAAAAATGTTGTTGTTTCTTTGTTTGCAAGGAACCTTTGTGCTTTTAGTTAGTGTATATTTTAATAGAAAGAGTTATGGTAGCTGATGTTTAAACCTGTACTAGCACTGTCAAGGCCTAAAAGCTTGTACTGCAATTCGCACTGGATGAACCAATTACCAATAGGCATAGTAGGCTTGTGCCTATAGGCTGCAAAGGTATAGAGCCTTGGTTCTCAACTGGTGGGTCGTGACCCAAAAGTGGGTCGTGACCTCATGTTCAGTGGGTCGCCACATGCTTTCCACTTTTCTAAGTGATAGGCTCCTCTGCCTCCCCCTAGCGCAGCATTGTCAGGTCTCTCGCCAAGCAGCCATTCAAAATATGCTGCTCGGTGCCGAGTTTCAGCTTGGGGTGGCATGGGATGGGGGGTATGGCCGCGAGGGAGCTTCATCCATACGTGCATTGCTTACAGCTCCCTCATGTGCCCTGTAGAGGTGCCGGGAGCCTGAAGTGACATCACATTCTGGCTCCCGGCACCTCTACAGGGCATGCAAGGGAGCTGTACAAGCAATGCACATATGGATGGAGCTCCTTCACAGCACGGCAGCCCACACTGGACCCCAGGCTGAGGATCCACTCCAGTTCTCGCAAGGAAGGGAGACTGGGTGGATCTTAAAACATTTTTTGTAGTGTGTACCCTAATTCTGTGAATTCCATTGCATTGCGACTTGGGTCGTGACTTGATGTCCAAGGACAAATGTGGGTCCTGAGGTTACACAGGTTGAGAACCACTGGTATAGAGGGTCTGTTTCTCCCTATGGTTGATGGTTGAACATAATTTTTTTTCAGTAGAAATACATTTATCACCTATAAGCATTTTCTGACACAAAACATTACATATTAATTGAATAGACATAAAACATTTAAATAACATTTATACAAAATGATTTTAGTCTCCCATATTTTTATAGTCTCCTTAAATATTGCATAAAAGATGACTTGTAAATAGTAAGTGTGTGAAGTGTTGTGATATGGAGATTTGAATGACTGCATACTGCTCTTCCCACTGTATAGGATGGCCTTTTGTGTGAAAGAGTTCTGCTACCCCAAACTCTATCTAAAAATCTAATTTTCAAGTCTCAAAAATACAAACCAAAAGTTGAAAAACTTGTCTGATTTTCTAAATCCTTGTTAATTTGAAAAGCGTCAACTATTTAGTGTAGACCAGTGTAAATAAATAAATATATATATATAGTGCAAGTTTGGAAGTGATTGTGTTTAGCATGCGATAGTGAAACTGAAATGCAAACATGTTTCAATTAAACAGATACACATCGAAATACATTTGTTTGTATCTATCTACATATTTTTTAAATATCTTAATGCCCAATTTTGTTATATTTATATTTTTAAATGCTTTCTTTAATCATTTATTGACTGCCAAATAAATAGAGATAACAATAATATAAGGGTAATATTACTTATATTTCAAGACAGCATTGAAATGTATTTTTGTAATATTTATCTACATTGTTTTTATAATATTTCAATGCTCAATTTTATTATAGTCATATTTTTAAATGTTTTCTTTCAACATTTAGGTACTGCTAAATAAATAAAGATAACAATAATATAAAGTTGATTTTTCTTAATTATGCGCCAATATATGTAAAAATACTGATTAACTAGGCATTCAAGAATGTTCACATTATGAAATGTGTTCACTTCAATTATCCAATCACGTGTCAAGAAATTCCCTGTTTACTTATTTCATCTGCACATGATTGGGATAATGTAAGTGAATATTCACACAATTTACCTTGGCACTCCCTCAGAGCAGCAGTAATATCGGAAGCACTGAGCAGGTCGGCGAGGCTCATTTTGAAACTGTAAACAGGAAGAGAGTGAATATTTAATAAAATTTCAGTTCCAAATGCTGTTAACAAAGAATTGTTCCATCAAAAATAGTGGCAAAGTAGACAATCATTGGGATCATAGTGATGATGGAGAAAAACATCACTATTGGGCAGATTTCTAAAGCAGTGACTCTGATATTCACCAACCATTTACTGCAGATGGATCAATCATGGAGTTGGAAAACACCTGCACCAGGAAGATTCACTTGCAGTAAAACTCAGGTTGAATTAATAAAAAGTAAAATAAATGTTTTATCTAAGTCGCAGATTCCAGATGAACATAAAATAATTCACCGGTCTGTTAGTAAAAAAAAACACAATTATTATTATGTCTGACATGAGAGAAGCATGGAGGTTGCAGTTGCTGACCTCTACTACTAAAAAATGCTAATTGCGTTGCTGCCATTATGACCCACTGATATCCAGACTGACATGGAGAAAGTACAGTATAAGATAAGGAAATGCGTCTCTACTCCAGTTGTACTAATCTGTTTACTTGTTCCAGGTCAGGGACATAGCAAAAAGTACTGAAGCCAGGGGGTCAGCAAAGCAGACAGACAACTATCATTATTAGCAACAGGACTACTTTAAGAAATATATCATTTTAAGGACATTTATGCTTTTGTTAATGATTAATGATTTTATGCCTTTATTTTAAAAAGTACAACACTTTACTGTTTATTGCACTATATATTGTGTAAAATCCTTAGAACAAAATCAAAATTATTTTTATACTGTTTTTTTAACTGAAGTCAAAATGTTTTTATGTACAACAAAAAATAAAAACTTTGCAAGGATCGTACAATGCTCTTTAATACAAATAAAAAAAATCTATATTTTTTCCAGGTAAGAGCTTCTCTAGGACTGTATGACTGCATTTATATAAAACTGCATTAAAATAACCAGTTGTGTGCCTCTCAGCCTCCTATATCACCATATGAAATGTTTGCTTGTTTCAGAATGATGTCTGTGAAGAAAGAAGAAAAGAAGAAAAAATACAGGAAGTCCAGTTGCCTTGACTTATTTTTTTAAAGATGTTTCAGAATTATGTAAGTATAAAATGCTTGATAAAAAAATGTCTGTGTGTATGACACTATTAAACTGTAAATGCACTGTGATAACAAATATACCCCCCACTACCACCCTTATCAAATATTTTATATACACACTTCAAATTCAGACAAGGGCAAATTTGCATTGCACTGCCTTTCCATGACCTGTGTATTGTTTATATCCTCTGAGCGCTTCTGATATCATCTAAAATTGTGTTCAGCATTCCTCTGAGCTTGGCCATGGAGAATAATGCCTGTCTCCATTTTTAGCTCAGTGTGTATACCCAGCATGGCTATTATACTCTAAGAGGGGAATTTATCAAAACTGGAGCAGCCAGAATCTGGAGCAGTTGCCCATGTCAACCAATCAGCATCTCTCTTCAATTTGCTCAGTTGTGATTTGAAGATGAGAGATAGAAGCTGATTGGTTGCAATGCAAATCTGCTCCAGATTTTGTCTGCTCCAGTTTTGATAAATTCCCCCCTAAGACTGGATTAAAAAAAGATGGGAGGGTTGAAAAACATATATACTCCAAAGACATGCTGTTATGTTAATTGGCTCCTCTCTAAGTTGGCCCTCTGTGTATGCATGTGAGATAGGGACTTTGGATTGTAAGCTCCTTTAGGGTAGGGACTGATGTGAATGTGCAACTATGTAAAGTGCTGTATATAAATAACTGTAATAAATAAATAAATATACACTTTGTTGTTCATAGGAGGGCTGGAGAATACAATTACAGTCTTCACACTGCACCTAACTGCAATCATTTACTATTTTGTAATTTTGGTTTCATTTCCAGATTAGTTTCTTAACTGTGCTTGATAACATAGATCTAGCAGGAAACAGTGTACTTTAAAGATGTAATTAAAATAAATAAAGTATAAAATAAAACATAAATTTCATTTGAATAAATACAATTACCTATATTATTAAAACAATAGAAAACAAAAGGAACTCATTGATTACATTGATATTTGCAGTGATATCAGTCTTGAGAAGTATATATTCATCAGGCAGAACATACTTAAAATGGTCTTACCTTGTTTAGTGGGAGGTGATGATGCTTGTGGAAATGCAGAGGATATGTAAGGTGACAGAGCTGAAATGGAAGGAAGAAGTGTGGTATATATAGGATCCCACAGGTGACAATAGGCTTGACTTGTATTACCAATTCAGGGATCAAATGCACGATTTGGTGACAAGCTCATGTTTCTTACCTAACTAATCAACCTCTCTATTTATAACTATGTGGAATTTACATAACAATACTATTTATGCCAGTTCTCAATCATTTAGATTTTTGGTAGTTTATTGTTTTGTATTTTTTATACTAAGTATGGTCGGAGTGTAACAATACTTTTCAGATGTTTAATCGAGTTGGCCCAACTTTTTAAGCAGAGAAAGAACATTTTAGCACTAGAATGTTCAGACTTGACTTAAAAATAGTGAGGATGATTAGTTTTTCCAATTCTGTCTCCCTCAAATGCACCAAATGGTAAAAGAACTTTTAAATTGCAGGAGAACATGAGGGAAACTCTTTTCAACTCCTCTCAACAGGAGAAAGACAGCAACAAGAACTTTACTCAGGTTCTTACCCTTCCGGTTCATTTTTGTTAAAGTTTATCTATTCTCAAAACATTTTATTTTTGGATAGAATGGGAAAAGGTTAGAACCGTGTTGGGTTTTACTGCTATATGTTAAGTGAAATTTCCCCTCACTTTCTGTTCTGGGGACAACCCTTTTACCAGACAGGGCATGAGGGAAAATCTCTAACAGAGGTCCAGACAACAATATAAAGCTAACAGAGGTAATAGCATTCTCATACTTAAAGTAATAATAAACTCTCAAACGTTTTTGCAATAATGAATCCGGATCAAACTAAAATACATTGCCCAGCAAAGTATTTCTTTATATTTTTAATCAAGCGCTTCCAAGTCTCTCAGCTTCCCTGAACTTCCTGTCCAGTACAAGTTCACAAGGGACATGGCAGACTCCAGCAACTGTTCATATACTAGCTTGGAGGAGGGAAGAGAGGGGGCCAGGGGGAGGGGTGTAGCTTGATTTGCTGTGTCTGTTAAGGAAGGAGCCACTCTAAAACAGCAAGCCAGGACCAGTGCTCAGGAGACCATCTGATTCTGCAGGAAACAAAAACTTTTAAACATCAAGCAGCATCCATTGCAAGTGATTTCATCAGCATTCGAAATAGCTTAAAATCATTTTGACTTTAATATCACTTGAAATAAAAGAAAACAATCTTCCGTCTATGTTCCTGTTAGAGAGATATTCCCCCACTTCCTGTCCTGGGGAGAATCTTTGTCCCAGACAGGAAGGGAAGGAATCTCTCCAACAGAGCCTCTGATGGCAGTACAAACCTGACAGGAGTTCTCTAATATATGCAAAACTAACGTTTTCACTATAGATACACTTTAATACTCGAGCTTGGAGTAATGGCTACTTTACAACACACACACAGGGACCATGGGGAACAAAGAAGCCACACTCCTGAAGGAAGGACAGTGTCAGCACCAATTTGGAGAATTTACAGCCGAGTGATACACAAATAAGCAACATTTTTGTAAATAGTTAAGGTACTTGAATGCATTTAAAAAATTTAAACATGAGTTCAGTGTCATTATAAGTGAAAAAGGTAAACAACATTCAAACATTACAGATACAACAGTACCAGTAAAGCCATGAAAAAAGTCCAAATACCCTCTCTTAACAACGAGAAAATAAAGGCCAAACTTTACCCATATGTATAATATTTTGATTTCTGCAGACAGGTCAGGGATCCTTTGCACTTTGCTTTGGACAGGTATTTGAATGGGTATCATCAAACTTTTCCCTATTCTACCACAAATAGTTTTTATTGTTGACGGTATGCCCATTAAGGAGCTGTTCCCTCACTGACTGTTTTGCCTGACACCTGGCAAACAGACAAGAAGAGTTGGAAAAATCTTCCAAATGGGGAAGTTCTAATGTTTAGTTTTTAAAAAAAAAAAAAGACAATTTGCCTGCTGTTTGGTTTAAAGTGAACCTTCATGGTAAACTGTCCTTTTGACATTGCTAGTTGCTTGGTTCTTCCGTTCCTCAGAAGGCATATACTGACCTGAAGCAGTTATGCAGATCTGACTTTTAACTGACCTTATTAGATGTATGCCACTACATGCATTGATTCAGAAAGTATATGCCAGTGGCAGCCATGAACTAGCATCTAAGATGCGTGTGAGCAGTGTCAGCTCTCTTTCCCTATATCTAATGGCTGTCATCTAAAACCAAAGCAGTTATAGAGGCACTCACGGGTCTTGCAGCAGAGAAAAGTCAAAGCATCAGCATTTTATTGTCAACATTTTGATGGAGCTTGTCTTGTAGACCCATTATTACTTTAGTAATTCTGAGGAACACAGAAGTTTGATTTACTATGACAATGGCAATGTGCAAACTGCAATAATCTATAGTAGCCAGTCTAAATGTAGCTTCAATTGTTCTAACTATTCTGTATATGTCAAAATTAAAATTCAACTGGTTGCTACTAATTACTTTACTATTTCTTTAAATAAGCCTGTTACTTTGAAAAGTTGCTGTATTTCCAGGTAAAGTCAATAGGAGGTTATCAACAGAAAGTGAGTATATCAGGAAATGATAGCATGAAGAGGGCAAGGGCATGAATTCAGGAAGCCATGTATAATTTATGCCTGCACTGTATGTTGGTTTAATGTGTTTTTAGCTAATGTCTGAGCCAAGACTGCTGGCACATCTTAAATCTTCAAAAGCACTATTGTCTGTAATTTCCTGATTAAATCTATCATAATTAGAGTACATTCAATTAGGGTTTATAGACTTCAAATGCAAGTAGAATCAATAAAAATAGTTATTACCTATCTTCATGTGGACCTTGCATGAAAATGAGTTCTGCTTATATTATATATCAAGCTTTCTCAAGAACTAAATTTAGCCACCTTTTAAAGATATTTTCTACCATAGCCTTGCTGAAGTAGGTATGCTTTTAATGCCAAGGACTCACTTTCAAAGTTACAATCATTTGAATTACATAAAAAGAAGAGGGAAAATTATATAATTAAACTATATCCAATTAATTGAATCGATGCCTACACAGATCAACTCTTAACTAATTCTGGAACTATTAGATTATTCCTTCATTAGAGATACAGGGATATCAAAGCAGGGATATCAATTATGACCAAATATATTATATGCAGAAAATGCCTTTAATCCATATATAGCCACATATATACACATATAAACCCATAAATACCTAACCCTAAAAAAAAAAAAAATTAAAACATCTTGTCCAGTACAATGCTTATTATTTAGTATATTCACATACACACACGATTTCTCATTATCACGATTTGCAAAATTAATATTTTGTATATATGTATACAATTTTTGGTGAAGCAATAAGGACCAATTTAGTTATCTACCGGCAGAAAAAAAGGGTTAGGGATTATAATTATTCAAATCATGATATATTCAAATCATGATAATGAGAAATCATGTGTGTATGGATGTATTAATTAATAAGCATTGTACTGGAAAATATGTTTTAAGTTTTTTAGGGTTAGGAATGTATGGGTTTATATGTGTATGTATTTAGATATATAAGAAATGAAGGTATTTTTGTATATAATATATTTAGTCATAATTGATACCCCTGCTTTTATATGTATCTCTTCTGAGGGAATAATTTAATACTTTTACAATCATTTGAACAGTTTCTCCTAATATGTAGGTACTGTGAAGTAAAAATGTCAGCAATTTTAAGAAGGGGATGGGCACTGTATCCATGTAAAACAATATTAAAGGATCTAGGTTTTCTAAACAAAGATGTATACAACATCATACAACCTTCTTGCTTAGGTGAAAATGACATAGCCCCAGGTCCTGAGTATCCTCCTTGTATACCCACATCACAAGTCCAAATAGGTTTTGGGATCATATACAACAACAACAACAACATATAAGACCCCAGAAGAGACAACCACCCCCTGATGATGTACAGGAGGAGGAGGTCAGCGGGGGACAGAACCTGTAGGAAGAAAGCAGTGCAGGAGAAGAGGTCAACCCCGGACCTGCTGGGCTTGTAAGTATATTTATACAGCATAGAAAGAAAATAAGCTGTAATGGTCACTGTATTGTAGACATGTGCAATTCCTTTAGTTGCAAATTGAAATTCGGGTGCATCCGAATTTCCAAATGACAGAAATAACTAATCTGAACGAGTCTGAATGTTTGATAACGAGATTTGGATACATCCAAATTTTAGTCGGAAACTAAACACAACAAGTGGGGAAGCTGTCATTTACCACTCCCTGGCTTCTCTGCACTTGTATCTCAAATGAAAACAAAGTAAAACAATATTGTTACAAAATGTAAATAATTAAAGAAGCTCATGAGAGATCTCTGTAATTCTGTAACAGCTTCTGCTTCTTTGCGGACACTTCCATCCCGAATGTAAAGAATCTGACAGCTGTCACGGAATAGACAAAAGTGTTTAACTGTTCACAGAAATAATAATAATCTAAAAAAACAAAACCCAGTGTGCCGCCTCCCCCCTAACCCCCCCCCCCCCCCAATTTATATCAGACCGTTTAGGTCTGGTAGGAATGTTAGGAGGGAACCCCATGTGGAAAAAAAAAACAGCGTATGGTTTCCCGGCAATTCATATCAGACCCTTTAGGTCTGGTAGGAGTTTTAAGGGGGAACCCCAATGCCAAAACAGTAAAAAAATAAAAGGTCCTCCCTAAAATTCCATACCAGACCCTTAATCTGGGCAGGAGGCTGGCAAAGCAGGAAAGGGAGGGGAGGGTTGACCAAGTGCTCCCCCCTACTATACCAGCCCACATGACCATTCCAGGGTGACCCCCCTGGAAAAGCACATTGTCCCCATGCTGAGGGGGACAAGAGCCTTTGTCTCACAACCCTGACCCTGGTTGTGGGGGCCTGTGGGCAGGGGGACTCATCTGCATCTGGGTACACCCAGGTGTCCTCCCTCCCTTGTGAATGACTAAGTGGTACTACCCCTACTAATTCACAAAAGAGTTAAATAAAATGTAAATAAACACACAC